AGAGATGGGAGAGAGGTAACCTGCAGCGGTGGTTTCCAGCTTTAACGCTGCCATTCTGGAAAGAGTCAGCTCGTCACAACCCTGCCAGGTTAACAGCCCTGCCCATGGCTGGCAAGGGGAATTGCAGTGATTTTCCATGTCTTATGGATCCCCTACTTGTCCTTGAACATTGCCAATTAATTCCAACCAGAAGTGGTAAAATGAGTAAAGAACAAGTACTGCACAGCTGCATTTATCACTGTCCTGTGTCCTACCGCAAGATCTTTACCCAGCCCTACACTCATTTGCAAATACAAGAACTGAAACAGTTGCGTCCACCCGTGTAATTTTTACATATTTTTCCAGGATTCCATAGAAAAACCCCACCTCATTACATAAACAATAAAGCTAAGCATCTCGTATTGGTGTATCTGCCAGGCGGCACCACCTCCCTCACCAGGGAAAGCGTGTTAAGTGTGTGGGAAAAACCCAGTCTTCATCAATTTCCCCAGTCTTGCAGCATCGTTGCAGATAGGTGATGCCTGCCACGTACTAAACCTCGGTTACAGGCAGTGCTACAGATTGTGTGCTGTCCAGTTCGGAATGCTTTTAAGCAGTCTTTACACCCGTGCTAAGATCAAAATAGGCCTTTTATCTGTTCATTCGCATTTCTAACTGCAGAAGGTACTGTTACAGGCAATCTTTTCAACCACCGACAAAGGCTCTGGTGACATGATTAAACAGTTATACAATGATTAATATGGCTTCTACCTAATTTGCATATGCATTGAGAAAAGAAATATCCTCCGAGCATCTCAGCTACAATAACACAATTACTATGCATTGTCACGTCATTTGACACGTGTGCCAGGAATGACTACGCACTGAAAGAAAAAGCTCACACACTTGACTGCTGCAGCTCAACTTTCTGAACAGATAGCGCTCACGTATCCCCAATAAAAGCAAGAAAAACTGTGAGGCTACCCCCTTCTTCCCAAAGTTCAAAGCATCAAGCGTAGCCTTCAGAAGAAGTAAGAGATGTTTGACAGCTCCTGAGTGGGTTTAGCAGATCTGAGCAATGGCTTGTGCACATAAAGATTGTCTATGCCTCCTCGGCTCCTCACGCAATCCCCCATTTTCACCAGCTGGCACAGACACATTATCCCCATGTAAGTTTTGCCTCTGAGTCCAGGCAGAGCTGTTGCACAGTTTCGAAGCGGGGAGCGGGCCCCGCTCTGCAGCTGGATCTGCTCAGGAGAAGCCCGGCCGTCCCCCAGCGGCAGGCCCAGCCCGCGGCCCCCGTACCCAGGGGCTGCTGGTGGGGTGACCCTCACTCGCACTCTGACAGACCCTTCCCACGGCAACAGGCCACAGGGCTCGACAGCGCTGAGCTAGCGGCTATGTTCAAAATACACAGGGGCACCAGAAGCAAGGCAGGCAAGTAGTACCAAGCAAGGGATCCTAAAGCTTTCAAAAACTTGTTGAGGATTATGTCAAATCAGAGGAAATAGTTCCTTCGCTATTCTCTTCTACTCGTAAAATCTTGACAAAGAAATAAACCGCGCGCCCGTTCTTCCCAACCAGAAAAACGTTTCCCCTTCTGGCGCTGACTCTTTCTGTCTCTAGAGTATTGAAGAAAATTTCTTTCGAACAGAGTAGACCAAGAAGCGAGATACACAGCTTTCTACTGAAAAATAAATCTACTTCTCCATAATATTTCTGCGATTTATTTGAACAGAATACAATGGAATCGCCACCTTTATAGCTAACCCACCCCAAATCTGAGCCCTTTTCTGTATAGCACTGCATCGTTACTATACCGTGTAAAGAGCAAACACTACCGGAATGTACACAGTGAAGGAAGAAAAAGTAAAGCTCTGCTTGCCAAAGTAACCATTTTCACTACTAACATGTTATCTAGAAAAATAAGGTCTAGTCAACGTCCAAAAGTGTTCAAGTTTCAATAAATAACTATCAATGCCCCAAGTTTGCACTGGCACAAGAAATGTGGAGCGTACAGTTTAGAAAAGTATTTTCATATGACTGAGTCAGCAATGCATTTCATCCTGCTTAAGATTTGCAATAAAAATCATTTCCCTCCAGGATTCGATTTTAAAACCGAAGCCATGTAAGTGCAAGAGCACCCACAAAGCTGTCTTAACTCTCCATGGCAAATTAAAGCTCTAGAGAAAGACGGTATTTTAAAAAAAGTTCTTTATCAAGACCAAGAAAATATACATAGCCATATTATGTTTTAAATATATATATATACACGCACATCTTTTCAAAAGGGTACGATTCTGGCTTCTTTTTTTTTTTTTTAAAGTTTGAAAAGCTTATTCATTGCTATACAGTTCAGTAAGGTGTATTAGGAAACACACTTTTTTATATCCCCCATGAAAATAAAGTTGAATCTTTCTGTAAACAGGAGTTTCCTTACTTTCCGAAATCTCTACAGACCTCAAGTACTTCACTGGATAAAAAAGAACAAAAAACCAACCACCTGCCCCGAAACCACCCGCGGCGACCTTCGTTGCC